ATGGTTTTGATGTGCGTATTCATGCTCAAAATTAAAATTAAAATGAAACTTTGTTTTGTTTTTCTTTTTGTTTTGTAACATCTTGTTCAATGTATTGTGTTAATCGGTTGAAAATGATCGTGTAAAGATCGAAAATTCCCATTTTCCCAAAATATATTTCAAAGAAAACTACATATAGATCTCTTAGTTTCATTCAAAATAGGTTATTTATCAATGATTTTTTTCATATTATTATCGTCATAATGTGTGATTATTAGAATCAGAAAATATGCCAGTGTCGTTATTAGATTCGAACAATATCCGAATGTCGTTTTATTTGATTGAAAAGTACACAGGTGTCGTTATTAGATTCAAAAAATACAGGGTGTAAGGGTCGGTGAGATGAATAACCACAATAATTTGAAATTAAATAAGAATTATTTCGATTTTATTTAAAAATCGTATCAAGTGACTTTGTATTAGTAAAATGATTCAACACACAATACAATGGAAAGTTTTTATGTTCATTTTGTCGATTGTAGTGGTTTTGGTTGCTCTTCATATATGATGATTCTTTGGTGAAGTTGAATTATTCGAAAGAAAAAATACGAATAATAAAAGAAATGAATCAGCATATTTGTTAAGATATTACTTTGATATCGATTGGATTTTGAAGGAGTTTTCGATTCTAAACATGCTGATAATTTTGTTCTCCAGTGAAGCAGATGTTTTCGAATGAAATAAAAAACTTGGACAAACGGAAATAAAATAGTGTCAAGAATAGATAGTCACAATATTAAAAGAGAACTATTCTGTAAAAGGAGAAATCTGGTAAGGAAGCTTAATCATTTAAACAAACGAACGAAAGGAAAAATCAAATGAATCGAAAACCACGAAGGAACAATGGTTCTAAAATATTCACGATTGAAAAGAAGAAAAAAGAAAAGTTAACTAGAATAAATTGAATAAAATGAGATAGGCACTACAAATACAGTTTGAATATTGATATTGAGGAGTTCAAATTCATGGCATGATTGGTTTTTGTCGACTTAGTAACGTATTTAATGAATGTTGAGTTTTAGTCATAATTTTTATTTTCAATTTTTTCTTTTTTGATCCCATAGTTGATGATTCCAATCTATTCCAAAGAATTTGCTTCATTTGTTGATTAAATTCACGTCTCGGACCAAATTCATACATATAAGTTAATCGAATAGATGCATTTTTCTTTTCTAGTTCGCGATGGTCTTCAATATAACGTCGTTGTTCTGAGACAAAGTTAAGTAATCGATGTCGAAGTCTATAATAAAAACGTTGATCCAAACAAGTAAAAAGAGAATTGGCACCAAAATAAGTATAAAAATGTTGAGTACGTTTTTCAATAAATTTTGAATGAATAACCATTTGTTAAACATGTTATTTCGAGATAAATTCTTTCACGATTGAAATGTTTAACAGATGTACAATAACGAACAGCTCTAATGAGTGATGATCGAAGCCAATGACTATGTGCTGCTTTTGAATTAGCAATAGCATATGGTAATGTATAAGGTTGTGCTCCATGATGATGATTAACACGACTATATAATAAACCTTCTTTATTTTCAATATAAGCGTCTAACAATTGAACCTTCGAAGCCATTTGTAGTTGAATTTCAATCGATGTATCAGGAATATGTATCTGTTTAACAATTGATTGTAATTCTTCCATATCTGAATTCCAAGTAAGTATAATTTCATCTTTGCATCTTAAATAAATACAAAAT